CCACCTAACCACACTTGGTGACAGAGCCTTCTTAACTGCTGCTCCAAAAACTGGAATAACCTACATGTATCGATACCTCTTTGTAACCTACAAACTGTCAATACCTTAAAGGTAAAGACCAGTATTGGTAACGCCCCAATTTCAAAAAATGAAATGGAAGCTCTCATTACCAATCATGTGAAAGAATATGTTTTGACTAATACATGATGATAAAAAATTTGCCGGGAAACCGCCTACTAATTCATATATTTGGTAAATTTATCTCTCTCATGGTCGTGTGAGAGAGATAGGGTAGTCCCATATACATCTTTCTGTGTATAGTGCTTGTAACTTTACGAAGAATGGGCCAAATTTCTTATCATTTTGATGATTCCAGAACCTTGCAGATGCTAGATGCTAGATGATCAACCTTTTCTGATCGATTCCACAACGTTTCTTTCACAATGCAATCGCATGACCATTACTGGTCTTTACCTTTAACAAATATCTAAAAACTGACCTCGTATGTTAGCAATATAACTGTAAAGCGCATTTGAGCCTGTATATGGAAAATGTGCTATACAAATACATTATTATTATTCTTTTAAAGGTGATCCTGAAGTATTAAGTCCCAATTAAAATGTATCCCAAGTGAACGCATCAACTATGAAAGCTTTGCAACATAATGACTGCCTTTCTGCTCATACTGGCATGAAGGGAATCATTAGACTCAATACATCATCTGCTGTCAGTTCTGTGTAAAAGTATATCATTTCATGCCTTTTTGGCACTCAACTAAGTGCTAACAGAACGGTCACAGATCATTTATGTAGTAATTATGATGATGGCATTCAAGGCTATGAAAGTATTTGTCTTTGTTTGTGAATTTGCTGGCAATAAGTTGATTCATCTTCTAAATGTAGTGCTTGCTCGCTAGTTGCCCAGAACTCACAGTTTTCCAGATGCCATTTACCACTTAAAAATCCTGGCAAACATTGTAAGATCCTGACCTTGTTGAACTTTTAAAAATTATCACGATAATTATGTTTTTATTGTTTTCTTGTGAATTGTATGCTTTTCACTGTAGAATGTAAATGACCACCAAAGGATGAATAACACATTAACACAAATATAAAAATTCATCTAGTTGATTGGCTGGAAACCGTAGTAAAAAGTTAAGAAAGAGCCCTATATATCTGTACATATTTCCTAAGAAAATTCAATTTTAATCACAACCCTGGAAGACAGTCATAATTGCAAGAATGTTTATGTGCTGACAGGCAGAAGGGCATTACAACGTAGTCAGATCTGCGTGCAAGAAGGCTGTTACTGCCATTGACCATTACCAAGTTTTGTCATTTTTTAAGTATGTGAAAAACTGATTTGTCCCCATTTATGTTTCTTGATGATGTGACATATCAAAGTTCACATCTAAAAGGATTCAACAAAGGCCCTAGTTCAACCAGTCCACCTTTTATTCTTGAGTTACGAAAAAATACAAAATAAAACATCAAATTTACAAGGGGTATGAATAATTTAGCTGTTTACTGTATCATACCATAGTCCTTTTCCCCTTTCTGGTTCTCAGCAGATAAAAAGTGCTTCCCACATGGACATCAAACTTGGCTCAAGAGATCACACATCCTGCATATCTCTTGAAATACTAGCCAGCAACGTGCTAGTTTGGAAACCAATCCAATCCTATAATATGAATTTGTGATGGTCCGGGTGTGTGATGGTACGGGTGTTGATTCTTGCCTCGTCGATATGATCTAGTTTCTAGCCTCTACCAGCTAATCAATAAGAAATGGATATTACAACGGGGGAGGTCGTGTCTTAATAAAAAATGAATCTATATGACAAGGGGAATGGACATCAAACAGAAGGCTTACCGTATCTTAAACGTACTTCTTAAGTTCTTTATCCATTTATGTCTTTGAAACACACTACCAATGACTATGGGCATCAAGAAAACACCATTTTTACCAAATCTTTGATTTGACTACAGCTCTGTTGCCTTTATAGATTAGATTCTATCACAAGGGTTTTTATGCAGGGCTTCATATTAATTCTTTCCTTGTGAAGTAAAATTGCGAAAGAGCCCACCATCAATTTTTAATTTTCAGGCCTGTGGAGGTAAAATTTGGGGGCCCAAATGTGCCAAATGTCTGATAATGTGGAGCCCTTAGAATGTATGCAGTAAAATCTCTAATCTCTTGCTATAATTTTTTCTTCTTCATTTGTTACATGGGAACTAAAGACTTCTATGACAAAAAATCTTCTTCTTTTTTTTTGGGGGGGGGGGGAGGGGGGGGGGGGAAGAATTTTCCTTTTTTAATGATATGGTCTTATTACCCAGGGTAGCCTCGATAGTATCGATACTGTTCTTCCCAAGGGCCCTGCAATCATATAATCTTATATTGAAATATGAACCGAGTATAATCAGTGAATGTTTGACCTCAAGTTAGAAAATGCTTCCTACGTGTAGTACTTGTATGTATGTCATGAAGGCCTAAACTGTTTTGCACTTGGCCAATTACTGTACATTTAATGCTCCGACTATCTGACAGTAGTGCCATTTGATTTATCTAGTCATTTGTTCCGTTGCCATCTGTCTTCTTCATCATCTCCTAAGTCTCATCTTGGCATGAACAGAGCAGGGGGTTGTTTCACAAAGACTAAGATCAACTTAAAGTTGGACTTGAACTAAGGCAGGCCATTCATGCCACTGGTTGCTCTCACTATTGGTCTCTCAATTATGATATTTAGATAATACATCGAAATAAGTAAATTCATTATATTTGTGATCACGATTTGTACGTCCCTCGAGAAACCAATGCCAGGATTGGTTAGAGGAACTAGTGGCATGAACGGCCTGCCATTGTTCAAGTTCAACTTAAAGTTGGATCTTAGTCTTTGTGAAACACCCCGCTGGAGTTCTAATGTCAGACTCAATATGCAGATATTTGAAGGGCATCCTCAAGAACTTTAAAGATATAGTATCAGCCATCTGGAAGCAGATGTAAAGGGGCTATATGAACCAAACATTCAGATATATTGGAAGTCATTTCCCAAGAACTCTTTGCATGTAGAGGTGCTGTGGTCGAATGGTTAAGTTGTTGGACTGTCGATCACAAGGTCCGCGGTTCGAGACCCTCCGCGGCACTAATGTCCTTTGGCGAGACATTGATCTACATTTGCCACACTCAACCCAGGTGATGTAAATGGGTACCTGGCCGGAATTAATTCTTTGGAAAGCTAGAGCGCCGTAATGGCAGCACAGCTAAAGCCGGGGTAATAATCTCCAAGTTTCGAAGCACTTAGTGATTGTAATAAGTGCTATATAATATAAAAACTGAGTATTATTATTATTATTATGTTCTCCTCTCTTCAGCTTCTCTTTGTATGGATGATCACGGTATATTTAATCAAAATTCTTAGACCAGACATTGTGACTTTTTTTCTATGCTAACACTGCATGTTGATGAATCACCCTGACAAAAGAAACAGTCACGTATTTGTGAAATACTTGTGCCTAGCCTGATTTTGGGATACAGAAAGATTTTTTGTCATTCTCTTCCCAGGTCAAACTGCCAAATTTCTTGGAATTTTCTGAATAATAATACAAATAATAACAATATTGATAAAGCGAAACATACCCATCTCTAGAGATGCTCAAGGCGCATACAAATAATAGCCAATATACTATACAGCACTTAAAAAATTAAGAAAGTTCAATTGAGTGGGAGGGGATGGGAATGACACACACTCCCACAATCCCCCTCTAGCAATGCCATGATACACTTGTAACTTTGTAAATATGTGTACGTGCATTTGCCTACAATAACCTCATTACTAAACAATCGTCATCGTAGCTGGTACGTTTTCTAACAATGGCTTCTTGGAACCTTCATCTGAGCTTAGTTCCAGCATGCTTGAGGTGCACAAGTAGCAATTAATTTGTTCCACATCAGGCTGTTGTTGTGGTGGTGGTATTGTTTGAAAGCCTGAAGCTTATTATGGGCAAGTGTGCCTATAGTTACTTAAAGGGATCTGGTATCTTTGTCTCAGATTCTGCAAAAAAATTCTGGATTTAGCTCATGCTGCAATGATAATTATAAACCTTAAGGTCAGTCAGGAACCCCATGACCTTTACAAGACGATCGGCTGTCTGATTATGAAGATATTTATGATTGGAATTACAAATTTTCAAAACTGTTTGACAAACGGTTTTCATAACACTACAGTCTATTGGGGAAAGCAAGTACCGTATGGTAAGACCGGTGACTCAAAGATTTTTTACTTTTTTGAGGCACTTCTTGATCATTTTGAAGCGCAATTTTTTTTAGGGCTTCAATATTACACCATATCACAGACACTGGTAGCATGTAGGGCCATGCATCTCAGATTTAACATTGTTAAACGATGCCTTTAAAATGCAAAGAAGTATTTCATTTCATCCTGTTTGCTAATTTCCTTGAAATGCTGGACAGGTAGGATCGTTATGAAACACTACACTGCTGGCCAAATGGCTACCAAAATTCTCATTCATTGCGCTTGGGTGATACGTTTGGTTTTGTAATACAGTCAAACCTGTTAATTAAGACCACCCAATTTAAGCAGAAAAAATGGTCACTATAAAGTGGCCTTTCTAGAGAGGTGGCCACTAAGACAGGTTCAATACCGTTTTATAATTATTTTTGAAGTTCATACACATTACAATGAAAGGTACACTTTGAATTTGTTTGATATGATTGCTATCTGTTTCATCATAGCAACAAAGATGTATAAACTCTATTCCACTATACAGGAGCTTTTGGGGGATTTGCAATTGTAAAGTGGAAATTCCTCAAAGTAGATTTTGAAATAAAATTATTTGAGCTTTTGAGAGATCTTTTTAAGCTTTCCTGAGCTTTTAATTAGTCTATAGTCTATATTTTTGGGTAATTTCATGTTTCCCCTCAAGTTCTGTTTTAAAATAACACCTTTTGGTTTTTCTCCTTTCTTTCTCTCCTTTACAGGGATTCCTGTACCTCAAGCAATCAAGACCGCAGCCTGCATAGATAGATACCCTTCCTGGATGTGAGTGATGCCCAGTGCTGCATGTAAATGATTCCATCATCCATCTGTACTCACATCCACTTGGGAGAAACATATACATCCTCCTAACACGTTTAGTCTAGTCTTCAGACCTCTCTTGACCTCATCCTGCCAACACGCACGGATCGGGTTTGCATCTGAGTTTCCCCGGTGGAGAACAGGGATGTGATACGATAGAACCATCGCTGATACCATACCAACTGATGCAAGGACTGATCGATGTCTTAACAGAAGTCATGATTAATATGCTGACGGTCATATGTCATGTGACTTGCAATGGATCTGAAGTGCTTACATGAGGTACTAATCTTGACCAATCCCCTCGCTCGCTATGCATGATTGCTTTTCTGCCGACGTTGAATATCGAGTTGCTTAACTCAACCACGCACTCCCAGTTTCTCTCCTCCCCCCACCCCTTCATTTTGCGTTATCCCGGCCAAAGATTTGATTAAAAGGCCCCAAATTAGATTTGATGTTACCTAGCCAAGGGGGATGCTAGCAAGATGATGATTGCGCACTTGTAAACTGAAGCAGAGACCCATTACAAACACTTTACAAGTCCTTTTGATTATAGCTGAGTACACGTTCTAAGCATCCAGGCACTCTTGGATATCGACATTTGTTTCTAATCCCTCGTGAATCGTGTGTCCATAAAGGCGGAGAATTCATCCTCCCGGTGAAGATTTAAAGCACACCCTCTCCAGGTGGAGACCTGGAAAGTTGCCTGAGTTCAACTGGATTTCATGAGGAGTTTATTTCAACTTAAGTTTGCATCATTGTGAGTGACGGATAGACGGGGAACATTCAAAACAGATCGCTTGATCTAGGAGGGGGATTTCCACACTCTTATCCATTTCAAGTTCAGGTACGTTAACAAAGGAATGCAATTATCCATCTAATGCATCCCAAAGCCCTCCGTGTAGAATGAAGTGGGTTTGCATCATAGCGGGGGTGGATTGTAAGCCCGTTGTGAATATATGCATGAATTTGAGATAGATTTTATAAAGCTCAGTACCGAGAGGGAAATCTGTTTTGATCTGTGCAAGGATTTCAGCAAATGGTTAATTGGAATATTTTAAAAGGATTGTTTTTACTGTAGTTTGTGGAAAGGTCAAGATGCTATCAATTGTGATTTTGATGTCTGAATACGTTATAGACTGGGCGCTTTTGTTTGTGAATTGATATTAGATAAATGATCTGTTTATCTGGAAAACTTTGTCATTATCAAATTTAATCCTTAATATCATTTAATAATAGTCACATTTGTATAGCGCTTAAAGAGAAGTTTCTAAGTGCTTTACATTGTTGTTATTATTATACTGTTATTGATATTTCTTGTTTTAATTTTCCCCCCTTTTTAAATTGAATGTTTTCTCACATACAATGTACATGTACAGACAACTGCATTGTATTTGATACAGCAGAGCAATGTTATAAATACAGAAATGATTTGATGTTGAATGCAATCACTGTGCCCACATGTATGTGGTAAGACTTTACAACCACAGCTTTTATTTAAATTAATAATAACAAACACAGACAAATAAAAACCATAGAAACCATAGAACATTATCTGTCGGTGTTTGGTTATTGAGGTTCACCAGCTATAATGATTTCTAACCCATGTTCATCTCCTCGATCAGTTCACTCCCTGGGAAATTGCATCAGCCTGCTGAAGCCTGAGAAGCCCCTTCTGCATGATCGAGAGCGGACGAATGAGACGTAGATCGAGCTGGCGTCATCTCGTACGATCCATCACTAGCCATTGGGAGAAATGAGGAGTTGATGAGAACTTCATTTCATCTTTGCCTGTATACTGTTTGTATATATGCTTCATCAGTAAGGCTATTCACCTTTTTCAAGTGTGGATCCCGTCACAGCTCAGACACAGTAACTGGACATCTTAACAAAAGCAATACAGGTAGGTTTTTTTGTCTTTTTGATTAGGTGAAATGATCATCTGATTTGTCCTCTAATTATTTTTAATTTATTTTACATGTCTATCTATTTATCTTTTTTAATTTTTTTATTTAGATTTGTTTATAGATTCACAAAAGAAAAGATTATTTGCTCCTGAACAAGAGTTTGTTTTGGCTTATATTACTCTTGTTTCATAGTGAACCTATTGTCTACTGGAACAAACCAGCAAAGCTATTAATACTCATCAACATTACATTAAAATCCTTAATAAACATATAGTGTCCTTTGTGCTTTTCAGAGATATCACTTTTTTGTAATTAACAAATGAATAATGATTTTTTTGTTTAATGTTATGATCCATTTATAATGATTTGTGTTAATTATAAACTTGAATACAGCATTTATTTTGTAGACAAGAGCAAAACTGTTTAAATATTATTCATATTTTTGGCTTACATCCAGTCCACAACAAAACAACAAAAAACAACAGGCTTTCAAATGACAATAGATTGTCATACATTTTTTGCTTATTTTCCATTTGTGTATTTTATGCGAGTTTCTCATAACCATTATCTACCAGCAGGATCAATTTATCTCATAAAAATAATAAATTCTTATTTCCCAGGTCAGTTAGAAATACTAAAAAGTTTGTTAGATTACAATAGCTTGTTTAATAGACCTATCATCCATGTGATAAAGCAACAGTCGGTACTAGTTACGGTAGGTAGATCAGAAAAGGTTATCATACAATGGTGTTTGTTTCATCTGTTGTTTAATTTGATAGCCACATATCAATGTTATGACTGCTTTTCATGACCAATTTCTAACAGCTTAACATCCATATCAAATGTAAACAATCAATATTCATTTACATGATCGACGTAGACCGCAAGAAGATTATCATCCAAATGTATAAGTTTCATTGATTGTTCATTTTGATCGGCAACATTGAATGTTTATGACTGAAAGATTGCCATGAAAACTGTATGTATGAGATAAATTTATCTCTTTAAAAGATATACCTACCCAGAGGTGCCAACCAGTACGATTTATTCGTATTTAGTACGATAATAAGAGTGGAATACGATAATACGATAGCACCTTTTAAAATATGATTTTTCACCCCCCCCCCCCCCCCCCCCCAAAAAAAAAAAAAAACATGACGTAATCGCATAGAAACATTTACAAGTAAACCCCCACAACCCCCAACAAAAACTTTGATTTACAATTTTCTTTTAAAATTTTAATGAAAGAGCAAACATTTTAATTGACTGTACGTACCAGTATCACATTTTTCTGAAATTTTACTGGCCCGGCCAACATGTATAATGGAATATGTTTAAAAAAAACTAATTACAGCAAAAATATGGTCTTTACGGTATGCATTTGCGCTGCGTTACGACATCAATAGGTTTTTAATAGTTGAAAGGAAGGCCAGTTGAAAAATACTAATTTTGATGGTAAAATACTAATTTTGGAGGTGCTGAGTACTAATTTGTACTTCCAAAGGTTGGCAGCTCTGCCTACCTAGCATCCAGATCAATTAAAAATAGTGAAAAAGATATAGTCAATATTCAGTCAGAAAACAAAAGACTATCATACGATCTTAATTTATTGGTTACATGAATTTTGATAGCCACAGAAAATAGGGCACACATCAAATGTTACAACTGTTAATCATGAATGACTATTATATACCAGCAAGATCAATCAATGTTGTAAATAGATGTACTTTAATACCTAACATCCATTTTCCAGATCAAATAGAATCAGTCATTATACAATTCCTGTTCAACTCTCTGGTGTATTCCAGGAAGGAAACTCTTGTTGTTTTGTTCGATGTCCTGACAAGGTGCCTAGACCACATACATGCTGTTGTAATTTGTTTGCCACGTAAGTGTACCTCCATGATGAATGCCTTGAACAAAATCATTATACATCTTTAATCATTGTCGGAGTACATAAGAAAACAGATCAACATCGGTCTGTCTTTGGCCAAGGAGGAAGAAGAGGAGGAATAATTCTTTGAGGGTTTGCTTGTGATGGATACTAGCCATAAGATATATATCTCTTTATTTGCTGTCATAAGAAGAACAACCCGTCAAATTCTTTTGTGGTTACACGAACAGTATATGTAATCCAAATATGCATGATATATATAATGTAATGTAGAGCCAACATGTCATAGATGTGATCTTTAAAATATAATGTTTGTTAAATAATATTGTAAAATTTGTCTCTTTTCAGCTATTAATCGTCAGTAAAGCACCACCAATGCCAACTGGATGCCAGAGAATGTTCAGCAAGCTGTATTGCAAGGTTGTTTTCTGCTGTGAATCCCATTTGAATGTGCTATAGGACTGAATTGGATGAAGAATTGTAAGAAAAGGAACTTTATTGATTTTTTTTTCTTCTTCCAAGAAAAGTGCTGCTTCAAGGCCTTGAAGATTGCGCACTGTGGGATTCTGCCTGGTGCTGCGACTTGTAAGACAGCTTTGGGTTGCTACGGTTGTTCAAATCAACTCTAAACTCAGGACAGGAATATTTATAAACGGGAGAAAAAAATATTTGGAGACAAAAATTGGAAAACTCTGACTTCTTGCCTTGACTTCTGAAACTGAATTTGACTTTGTTGGTGATAGTGTCTTAAAAACTGGGAACACTTGGAATCTCTCTGGGGATCAGAAGAATTAGAACGCAACCATCTTATTTCGTTAATTGAAGGTGAGTGATATTCTATGTTTTATTACAATGTGATGTGGTATGGAATGTCTGTGCGGAATATGAGAGAGGAAGAGGAAGATTTTGTTTTCCTTCTTTTTTTGAATGTCATGAACTTTGCATTTTTCCTGCAAGGAATATTATTTCTTTATTGCGACCAAAACTTGAGGCTGGATTTCAAATACAAATGAAAGTACAAACAGATAGGTAGATGACAATGGTAGAAATAATGTACACAAAGTCAAAGAAACTGTTGAGTCTGATACACAAATATATGAATAACAATTTGTTATGATCAATTTATTACACCTTATAAAATATGGGTTCACACTTCACAGGGTTCATGCTATGGTAGGAATACCGTTCAGACTGATTTGTTTTCCATCTCTTTCTCTTTCTTTCTCTCTATTGTTCCACACTTACTCATATACATAACAATATACATAATACATACTGATAGACAACTAGGGAGCACTTGTTAAATGCAAAGTCTGTACAAATTAAGAAAGAGCTCCAAGAACCTTTAACTTGAGCTTAAATGTCAAGTATTTATGGGGTTACTTTAACTACATGTATGCCACCTATATAACTTCAAAGGGATATATCATCTTGGAGTCAGAAGGGTATTAATTCTATGTAAAAAACTTCTTTAGAACTTTAAAAAATAGATATAATTTTTTCAAACAATTTTTTTGGCAAATGCACAGTCTCAAGTACATTGTACTTTATACTCCCATTCATGAATACTACTCATCAAGTGGAAAATTGTCCATAAGGGAAAGGTTTTAAGACAAAAGACTAGATGCTGCTCGGCAAGGTGACTTGGTCGATGACGTATTCATGAATGTACCATACAGAAGTAATGTAATAACGTGGATGGAAAGAGACACTCTTGAGCCGAAAGATCTGAGGATTTCCCCTCAATTCAATAGAATGTACTTCCTCATTCCATGAACAGAGAAGAATTTTCATCTCTAGGTTTTCAAATTATGCATTATCTTCAGAAAGGCATTACATTCACAATAATGATATTGTATTTGTATGGTAATATTACAGGAGAGACAGAGAATAAGAGTGTACTACAAAGAACAAACTTCAAGAGGGACATAAAATCGTTAGAAATATTGTAGAATGGAGAGAGGGGGGGGGGGGGGGGGGAGAGAGAGAGTAGTAGGGGAGAAGGGTTAGATTGTGTGAGAGAAAAGCTCTTGAAATTAGAAAGTAATTTATATCCAATCATCATCAGTACCGTAGTTGCTGGCTATAGGCTACATGATCATGTATTGGGCCTGCATCCTCAATTAGGAGAGAAATGTTGTTGTTTGCCCTTTCTTCTCTAAAGAGTATATTTCTTGGCAATCCTCCCCTGATTGATGCAAGATTGGTAGAATTCTGTGCTGTTTTAACAATGTATTTCAAAGGAATGACAAGTAAATTCCACAAGAGTATCGTACAATATTTAATTTTGTACGTGTTGTTGAGAACACAGATACTTCTTTTCCAGGGCAGCATGGAGCGGGAGTGCATAGGAAGTTCAGATACAGCTAGCTACATAACATTCTGTAATTGTATCCTTGGCAAACTAGTGTCTGAGCACAGACTCTGATATGACATCTGAGCATTTATAATCCATTGTGTCATGAACGAATCCCAATGCAGGGCTTCCCAATGGCTGAAGTGCAGTCTCTAGTCTTGCAGTTCAGACTCTGTTGCACCCATCACACCTGGCAAGGGCTCATCATGCAAACCACTTACACCCTTGGCTTTATACTTTACAAATGGACCTGGGTCCTGTTGCAAGACTATCATTGATGGTAACTTTAACACTAATGGTACCTTACTTCCATGGCAACATTACAGCCAATCAAATCATTATTACTAGTGGAGGTAGCCAGTAATGGCAAAGTTATATACCATAGATTGTTATTTTTTTTCTCATAATATCAATAACAAGTTACGATAATTGTTATAACTTATAAGCTACTTAAATCATGGCATTTGATTAGCTGAGAGCAAATTTGTCATACAAATTTATCATTTGTTATTGGTAACAAAAAAAAACAGGGCTCCCAGACAAGGAAATGAATCATGTGTAGACACCATTCTTGAAGTGAGCCCTCTTGAGTTTGAATACAGCATAATCCTCTGCTTGTTTCCCATCATAACAATCAGATCAGTCTAGCTGTAATAGTGTAGATGGTATTATGATTGGACCTACAGGTACTTTATGAATGAGATAAAGTCACAAAATCATCAGTCTTGCATTTCAAACTGGATTAAATGCTTAAAGGCAATAATGATGAATCCTCATAGGCTAACTGTAGCAAGTCACAGCAACAGAAAGAGAGACAAATATGGATCAATTGATAACAAAGCATTTACATGAAATCTGCTGTACTTAATGTATCCCCTGGTAGTATGCCGGTGGGGTACTTTGGATTCAGCAGCGTTACGCAGCCGCGTCCGCTGTGTCATATTTTTGTGTGCGCTCTAACGGCCACATTCCTTAACAGAATTCTTTCAAATTTTGTATGCAGGTGTATCTTAGTATAATATACACACTTATAACTTTTGGTGATGCTGCCCCCAGTGTTCCCTCTTCTATAGGGTAAAAGGCCTATTTTTGTGGATGGTTTAGTTGTGTGCGCTCTATAGGCCACATTTTTCAAGGAATTTTGTTCAAATTTTGAACAAAGGTGTATCTCGGTATAATCTACAAGCCTACAGATTTTGGTGATGCTGCCTCCAGTGTTCCGTCTTTTATAGGGTCAAAGGTCATAAAGATGTCTTGTGTGCACTCTAGAGTGTGGTTTTACTGCATCGTTCCGGAGAGATTTGTTTCAAATTTTGTATGGAGGTGTATCTTGGTATAATCTACACACCTATAACTTTTGGTGATGCTGCCCCAGTGTTCCGTCTTCTATAGGGTAAAAGGCCATATTTTGATGGCTGTCTTTGCTGCGCTCTAACTGCCACATTTCTTGACAGATTTCTTTCAAATTTTCTACAGAGATGTATTACACTTTAATCTACACACATATTGTTTTGGTAATGCTGATCCTAGTCATGGCAATAGTCTGAGCCACTGATGGCGACCTCTCTACGTCATCCTTTTGTTTCAGGGAGGGGAGAGGGGATCTTTGTCTCTCTTTTGAACATAAGGATGACACAAAATTGCTGCCATTGACGGGGGATACGTTCGCATTGCGCGGCAATACAGATTGCGATATTTCTAGTTGTATGATAGGGAATTAGAGATTACAGAAAGGGAAAGAAATCAAAAGAAACAAATCAAAACACAAAAATAATCTAGATGGAGTCCATTTGTTGTGAATAATATTCACCTCTCATTTGCCACTTACTCCATTCCAAATCATAAATATCTGATAATATTTTTAATTATAGCACCAATGTATGTAATGTCCTCATGCAGTCTTAGAAATAGATTAGCAGAATATATCTGGGGGAAAAGGTTTTCAGGGTGTCAACTTCAATCTTAAAATAAATTGTCATAATTCTTTTATTTTCATTCTGGTATGTCAGTCATAAAGTGTTGAAAGGGATTGATTTTAGATGGCTTGTCTCATGCTTGATACAGTAGAGTGAAGCGTAATGGAGCACTGAATCAATAGAGGCTCTGAAGATATTTTTGGCTTTCTCCGCAGATACTTTATTAAATTAGGATGCGTATCAAAAGTGCAGGCATGATCAATACGCAGAGTCTAGTCACCTACCAGTGAGAGAGGATGAGAGATGCAGTGGTGAGGATGAGAGATGGAGTGAGGATGAGAGATGGAGAGAGGATGAGAGATGGAGTGAGGATGAGAGATGGAGAGAGGGTGAGAGATGGAGTGAGGATGAGAGATGGAGTGAGGATGAGAGATGGAGAGAGGATGAGAGATGGAGAGAGATGGAGTGAGGATGAGAGATGGAGAGAGGGTGAGAGAGGGTGAGAGATGGAGAGAGGATGAGAGATGGAGAGAGGGTGAGAGATGGAGTGAGGATGAGAGATGGAGTGAGGATGAGAGAGGGTGAGAGAGGATGAGAGATGGAGAGAGATGGAGTGAGGATGAGAGATGGAGTGAGGATGAGAGAGGATGAGAGATGGAGATAGGATGAGAGATGGAGAGAGATGGAGTGAGGATGAGAGATGGAGTGAGGATGAGAGATGGAGAGAGTATGAGAGATGGAGAGAGGGTGAGAGAGGGTGAGAGATGGAGAGAGGATGAGAGATGGAGTGAGGATGAGAGATGGAGTGAGGATGAGAGATGGAGTGAGGATGAGAGATGGAGAGAGGATGAGAGATGGAGAGAGATGGAGAGAGGATGAGAGATGGAGTGAGGATGAGAGATGGAGAGATTATGAGAGATGGAGAGAGGGTGAGAGATGGAGAGAGATGGAGAGAGGATGAGAGATGGAGTGAGGATGAGAGATGGAGAGAGGATGAGAAATGGAGAGAGGGTGAGAGATGGAGAGAGATGGAGAGAGGATGAGAGATGGAGTGAGGATGAGAGATGGAGTGAGGATGAGAGATGGAGAGAGGATGAGAGATAGAGAGGATGAGAGGTGGAGAGAGATGGAGAGAGGATGAGAGATGGAGTGAGGATGAGAGATGGAGAGAGGATGAGAAATGGAGAGAGGGTGAGAGATGGAGAGAGATGGAGAGAGGATGAGAGATGGAGAGAGATGGAGAGAGTATGAAATATGGAGAGAGGGTGAGAGATGGAGAGAGGATGAGAGATGGAGTGAGGATGAGAGATGGAGTGAGGATGAGAGATGGAGAGAGGATGAGAGATGGAGAGAGATGGAGAGAGGATGAGAGATGGAGTGAGGATGAGAGATGGAGTGAGGATGAGAGATGGAGAGAGGGTGAGAGATGGAGTGAGGATGAGAGATGGAGAGAGGATGAGAGATGGAGTGAGGATGAGAGATGGAGTGAGGATGAGAGATGGAGTGAGGATGAGAGATGGAGATAGGATGAGAGATGGAGAGAGATGGAGTGAGGATGAGAGATGGAGTGAGGATGAGAGATGGAGTGAGGATGAGAGATGGAGAGAGGATGAGAGATGGAGAGAGATGGAGTGAGGATGAGAGATGGAGTGAGGATGAGAGATGGAGATAGGATGAGAGATGGAGAGAGATGGAGTGAGGATGAGAGATGG